CCCAGTCTGGGAACCCTAAGGCCAAGACCGCAGCCCACCACTTAAGAAATCTGAAACATGTAGTTCGCTAAAAGCAACAAAATACCCCCAATCCAGCTCAGCTTCTTCATCAGTTTAACTGAATCTCTCAAACTTACAAGTGGAGCAAAAACACATGCTCACAAAAACAAGCATGGGTAAAAGTAATTCTGTAATTATAAAAGACGGTATAAATTCATATTTTTTTCTCCTGCCTTCCATTAACTGATCTAAAAAGGAACTGTATAAAAACATGAGGTATATAATTGTATTCCTGAGTGGGTAAATATAGACATGTAATATATTTGCCAATAACAACACAAAGGAAGTGGGAATGAGAACGCTGTTTTGGAGTAAGGAAATGGCACTAAATAGCAACTTGAATCTAAGGAACAAATGGAGCGAACCAGAAAGGGTAAATGAGGTTACCGTAACAAATACTATAAATATTTGCTCTCCTTCCTACTCCCAGCTTCTTTACAAATTATATACAGTAATAATTGTAACAATGTAATGCTAAGTTTGTAACTATGGAGATGTAATATTTATAGTAACATCACAGAAGAGGGAAAGACAATAGAGCTGCATAGGAATAATGCTTCTATATCTAACTGACACTGTTAGTATAAAACCTAAAGTCAATTCTAAGTTAAGATCTAAATGGTAAGCCCTAGAGCATCCACTAAAAAATATAACTTAAAAAGTGAAAAAATAAAGAATTTAAAATACTATACTAGAAAATATTCACCTAATGCAAAATACAAACTATAATTAATATATTAAATGATGTAATGGAAAAAGTAGACAACATGCATGAATAAGAGAGGAATTTCAGACTAAAAACTAGAAGAGATAATCGAATGAAAATATTATAAATTAAGAAAACATTGCATGTATATCCCTTTCATGGTCTCACCAGTAAACTCAACACGGCTGGAGAAAGAATCAACTTGAAAATAGGTCATAGTGTATACATAGTTCATGTTCACTAATTTTGCTACTCTCTAGTTACTCAGACCATATTTTACATTTCAATCAGAATTGAATAAAAGTCTATTCTCCAGCATTCACGTCAACACTTAGTATTCCCAGAGTTTATTTTCTTCCAATATGACAGATGTGATATGGTTGATGGCTGAGTAAAATTTGGCAAGTTACTCAACCTCTTTGAGCCTCTGTTTTCTCATCTGTTAAATGGATATTACGTTACTTAACTCACAGGATATTCCCAGGAGTGAACAAAAATACAGAGAAATTATAAATACTTAGTATACATCTATATGTTTCCAAAGCATTTAACTAAGTTTATTACATGCAGTAGGTATTCAATATATAAAATCAATCAAATGATATAAAAATTATATTCAGTGTCTTTACTGGAAAAAAAATGACAGAACAAAATTAAGAGGTTAAGAGTAAACTTTGGAGTCAGACAAACCTGAGTCAAATTGTAGTTCTCTTCAGTTTTGAGAATTATTATCAAATATTAAGTTAAACACTGGAGATATTTAAATTAGGCACAAAAAATTAATATTTGTGGTGGCAATCCAGAAGACCTAGAAGTTTTAATTACATACTACTCCCTTCTTATTTCTTAACTCCTTAGAAGGAGTATTAGTATAAAGTAGAAAATTAAATATTTTAATTTATATCATATAAACCAATAGTTATGCATATTAAGTCTGGATATAGAGGAAAATCTATAGGAAATAAAACAGAAAATGTAAATGTCTTATTCGAGATATGTAACAGATATCTATATAGGTAAGCATTTTACTTGCATCAAACAAATTTTCAATAAGAAAGAATATTAAAAACTTGCCTGGTTGGAAATGGTATTCTTTCTAGTTTTGTTTTTATCTTTACTTATGACCATACCACTAACACAAAGAATATATGAACAGAGGTCAATGTTTCTATGAAGTAAAAATTGCAACATATTCAATCTGACATACCTCAAAGTATACATAAGAATTATTGTGCAGTATGGTAATCACATGTGAATAAGGAGTTAAATAAAAGTCTAGAATTAGTATTTATTTTTAGACACCTATATTCATTATGTCTGTATTCAGCTGTGAGGAGTAGAGAGAAAAAATTAAGTGGAATGAAAAACCACTAAGGTTTCATAGTGTGTATACAGTGGTGGAGGGTGGGCATAAGCTGTTGCGTCCATCGCAGCAAAGGTTCCTGCTTATGGACGGGTGCTGCAGAACTTAAGAAACACAAAGACAGACAGAGAATCAAAGATGGGACCAGGGGACTCAAGATCTTAAGGATCAAGAGCCCTGAGTGGCTGGTTCGCAACATATTCATTATCATAGTGCTGCAGAAAAGAACTCTGAGCATTTCAGTGCAGTAATAGCAATCTACAAAACCTCCAATGCTCTAAGAATAGCGAAGCAGTATTAATCATCTTTATGACTCCATCTGGTCCCCTTGTGAGGGGGCCGATTAACGTCACAGAAACTTCAGTGACTCCCTTAGGCAAACGGCTTTGTGTACATGCTGGAGCAGTGTTCTGCTCATGCAGGGCTCAGTGTTCTGAGACCAGCATTGTTTGCCCTTAGGAAACACCTTAGTTTCGTGCCGCACCTCAGGCCCCTACAAGGAAACTTCTTGTTTTCTTGCTCTCAAGAAAACATCATATTGACCCAGGAATCCCACTCCTGGGCATAAATCCAGAAGGAACTCTACTTCAAAATGACACCTGCACCCCAATGTTCATAGCAGCACTATTTACAATAGCCAAGACATGGAAACAGCCTAAATGTCCATCAACAGATGACTGGATAAAGAAGATGTGGTACATTTATACAATGGAATACTACTCAGCCATAAAAACCAACAACATAACACCATTTGCAGCAACATTGATGTTCCTGGAGAATGTCACTCTAAGTGAAGTAAGCCAGAAAGAGAAAGAAAAACACCATATGAGATCACTCATATATGGAATCTAAAAAAAAAAAAAACAAAAAAAACCTAAATAGAAAATAGAAGCAGATTCATAGACATAGAATACAAACTTGTAGTTGCCAAGGGGGTGGGGGGTGGGAAGGGACAGACTGGGATTTTAAAATGTAGAATAGATAAACAAGATTATACTGTATAGCACAGGGAAATATATACAAGATCTTGTGGTAGCTCACAGAGAAAAAAAAATGTGACAATGAATATATGTATGTTCATATATAACTGAAAAATTGTACTCTACACTGGAATTTGACACAGCATTGTAAAATGACTATTACTCAATTAAAAAAAAGTTTAAAAAAAACGAAAACATCATATTGACTTGTTTTCCCACAATAAGGCACTTCAGTTTATTTTTATACAGGAGACACCTGCAGCTTGGCAAACCAGAACCCCCAGTGGATGGACAGCCATATCTGCCTCCCAGCTCCCAGCGTGAATATAAAGAAGACATTTTGGATGACAGTAAGTTTGCACTGCAGGAGCGGAGTGATGGCGTTACAGACTGAATGTCTGTGTCTCCCAGAAGTCGTATGCTGAAGACCTAACCCTCAGTGCTGCTGTGTTGGGAGACAGGCCTCCAAAGAAGTCATTAAGGTCAACTGAGGTCGCAAGGGTGAGATTCTGACGGGATGAGATTAACGTTCTTATTAAGGAGACAACAGAGCTCACTCTCTCTCCCCACATCCAACCTACAAGGAAAGGTGACGTGCGGCCACACACAGGAGGTGGCCACCTACAAACCACAAAGAGAACCCTCAACAGAAACTGAATTGATCTGAACCTGGATCTTGGATTTCAGGCCTCTAAAACTGTGTCAAGTCAATTTCAGTTGTTTAAGTCACCCAGGATACAGTGCTTTATTACAGCAGCCAAAGTAGACTAATGCAGATAGACTAACGTACATTCCTTTATTCACAGTCAAAGGCCAAACAGAAAATCTGGTACAAAAGATGTTTAAAGTTCCAATCATTAGTCTCTTCACCTGGAGCTCTCCTCCCCTCATAACCTAGACGCCACCTGTATTTGTCTGACAAAGTAAGCAAAATGACTGGAGCATTCAGAGAGGTGGTTTGGAACATGACATCACTGAGGTGAGGGAGGAGAATGGGAAGTTTGGAGGAGGAGGAGGGGAGGGATGGGAGTGCGTCAGCAGTAGCAGGTCACAGCCTCACTCCTGAGTCTCACTCCTGATGAAACGGGAGGAACGGGAAGGAGGAGGAAAAGAGAACTGGAGGACAAAGGGAGAGGAAGAAGCAGGGAAGTTGGTGGGTGAACAGGGGACAAGCAAGGCAGGGAGCAAGAGGCATGGAGAAGACAAATAGAAGAACCAAAGAAACTGGACATGAGGACCGTGAGACTCTCTTCACTGTCCTAATTTTTCAGCAGCCCAGGAAAACCTAAGACACACATAGCCTTACTACAAATTAGAAAAAGGTACCCTCTCTGGGTGAGTGAATTAAAACAGTGGTATTCCTCTAGTGAGAATAGACCTCATGAAATGAACCAGCGGGGCGAGGGTATTTATGGTTCAGCCTTCAACCCTTTCTAGGCCAGGAGAGTCCTACCAGGACCCGCTGGTCGGCTGGCAGAGCAGGAGCTGGGTTGCAGGCTCGCTCACCCGCTCATCCGGTGCTCCTATTCAGCACACATACTCAGGAGACATGGCGTTCTCGCGTCTCATCACCAACAGGAAGGCGTCCTCTCACAGTTCTCTTTGGAACCCTAAGTAACCCCATAAACCCCTGCTTGTCAGCTTAGCTGCCCTATTCAGGGCTGGCAAGATGTGCTGAGTCTTATCATTTCAGTAAACTCCTACCTCCAAAGCCCTTCCTTGAACAAAATGAAATTCCTATAATTACACTGCCAAACAGTCATGCCCACATCACAAGAATATGGTTCTTTGAGTTCAACAGTGGAAGCAAACAAAAACTAAGGCTACAAGATTCTAGTGAGTGGAGAGTGGGTTTCATTTTTACCTGCCTTCTCTATGTCCATGGCTTGATCCGAAGTCGTTCACCACTATTTGATTCTTCTAGTGATGATAATGGTAAAGAGGAGAGAAATGAGTGTTCTCAAGGTTTCTGCGTAATACAGAATGTGGACTCTCCCACCTAAGACTGGCTGGGAGAAGGGTTAATCCTTGAGGAGCTGACAACAGCGTTTCATTCCATCTCCAAGGGCCTCTTTGACTTTGTCATTCCGGAGAGTGAAGATGAAAGGGTTCAGAAAAGGGGTCAACACGGAAATCAGCAGGGAGACTATCTTGTTGTACTCGGCTGCCTGGGTTTGCCTGGGCTTCAGGTAGAGGAACAAGCAGCTGCCATAGCCGATCACCACAAAGATGAAGTGGGAGGCACAAGTCGAGAAGGCTTTCCTGCGGCCAGAGGCCGTGGGGATCTTGAGGATGGTGGAGATGATGTAGGTGTAGGAGACAACTGTTGGGGCCAGAGAACCAATGATAATGAAAATAGCCATTAAAAAGAGAACAAGCTCTGTGAAAAGAGTGTCATCACACGAGAGTTTGAGCAACTGTCCTCGGTCACAGAAAAAATGGTCTAACAGGTTTGATTTGCAGAAGGTAAACTGAAACATGGCATAGACTGGCCAGATTTCAGAGAGGAGCCCAAACACCCATGACACAGTTACCACCGAGATGCAAGTGCGACTGCTCATGATGACGTTGTACCTCAAAGGGTTACACACGGCCACGTAACGGTCCACGGCCATCGCGCCCAGTAATGCAAACTCTGTGGTCCCCACAGCGAGGTACAGGAAGAGCTGGGTGACACAGGCAGTCAGAGATATTGTCTGCATCCCAGGGAGCAGCAACCCCCAGAGCATCACGGGGACGATAATGGACGTGATCAGAATCTCCAAGGCAGAGAGGTGGCCAAGGAAGAAATACATGGGGGACCACAGACGTTTATCAACGCAGACAATCACGATGATGACCGTGTTTCCCATCAGTGTCACTGAGTAGAAGAAGAAGAATACAGCAAAAAGAATGTGATGGAGTTCTTGGGACCCAGGGAAACCTAAAAGGCAGAATTCAGTGGCACTTGAGTGATTGCTCATCATTCAGTCCTTGGTTGTGCTCCTTGTGAAACCTAGAGATCAGAAGAGAAGAAACACTGCCTCACCTGGCCCTGCTCTCCAGAGAGAAGGAGGACAGATGAGGATGAAGAGCTATTTCTCACCTCATGAGCCGGGGGGAACCCCTATTACTCTGCTCTGCACAAAGCCAGACTCAGAGGTTGTCACCTCACATCCAGCTCCAGGCTAGCTGCCCGGAAGGGGTAAAGATACCTTTGTCTTTACTTGTGAGAAGAAAACCTCCCTTGTCTTTTCCCCCAGTAACGTGCTTTCTCACAGGGGACAAAGGTTAGGGCTTCTGAAACAGGCCACATTCGATGCTGAGTCAGGCCCTCAGGTCCTGGGGTTGCCCTCTCCTCTTAGGCTAAGTGTAACAGAGGACATAATGGCATTTCAGATGATGCCCAAAGGATGGAACTTCGAACCTCACCCCTCATTCTTATTGGTTCTACATAAACCCACCTTGGGGTCAGCAGAAAAGAGTCCGGGGGTCTAAGGGCAATAACCTTGCTTTTCCCAGATTTTAAAATCCCCATATTACAGAGCAGCGAGGGCTCCAAACGGGCCTCTGGAGTTTGGGGTGCTTTTCCAGATAGACTCACTCATCCCTAACCCAGCGCAGCTGCTTTCCAAATCTTGGCAGGAGGGAAGGATGGGGTCTGGCATTGACACGTTTAGATCCAAGGCTCTCAGCTGCCCAGGATGCCTGGATATCTGCTGCTCGCTTCACCCATCCCACAAGCTAATGTCATCTCCTCTAAGGACTCTTTCCAATCACCGTCCCCGAAACAGGAAAGACAGGTTCATTCCTGGATTTTAGTTTTCCTCATAGCACTTACTGTTACCTGGCATTATGTTAATGTTTAATTTTCTATGTCATGTCCTTAATGGAACATGGAACAAATGCAGCAGTGAATAGAAAAAAAACAAAGGTCCCTGCACCGTGGAGCTTATATTCAAGGAGTGGATGGAGTTTATTCCACACATAAACAGGTGAGTAAAATATTTAAGATGTTGGTTCGCTAATCATGCCATAGAAAAATACTTCAAGGAAAAGGGAAAGGAAATTTAATTTTATTTATTCATTTTTCATGTGTGATACTGGAATATAAACTCCATGAAAGCAAAGACATACCTTCGATATATACATGTATATTACATATAAATATCAATAAACCATGCTGAGACAAGTAACCAGTGGTGAAATTCTTTTAGTAGGTGAAGGGTGTGTGAATATATAATACATGATTAAATATTACTAAATCCTGGCCAAGGCTAGTGGGCCATACGCCCTTCGTCCTAATCTGCCTGGTTTCCTTCCTGCATCACATTACTATTTTCCCCTCCTTCCTCCCTTCCTGAGGCAACTGCCTCAATATCTCTGTGCATCTTTTACTTCAGGGCAATCTGGCTTCAAGGACAGAACGGTTGGAAGCGCTCGGTGCCCAGCTTTTCCACAATTCCTGCATCACCACCCCCAGATGAACGCACGGGAGAGAGGAGGCTCCTGACTGACTCGGGGAGCTGGGCCTGGCCCGAGCCCTGGGGCAGAGGAGCTGCATCTGCTCTCTGTGTGCGGGGGGCTTTGGGGATGAGCCCACTCTCTCTGCTGCCCCCCAGCCCGCTCTCCAGGCTGTAGGTGTCCTTCTAGAAGGCAGCCGAGCCTGCAACTCCCCATCCTCATCCTCCCCTACTCCTTCCTTTGAAGACGGGACCCCTGAAAAGACGCGCACCTCTGCGGAAGGGCTGCTCCACCACGTCCCATGCCCTCCAGGGCTCGGCCAAGGCTGCTCCTGTCTGGGCACCGCTGAGCCACGCACAGGGGTCACAGCACCTTGCTGCCGCCTCCTCTCATGGTGAGGAAGGAACTGCCTTCAGGAACTTAGGGGGAAGTCCGGAAACAATAGTGCTGTGGGGAGCTAAGGGTCTCTCTCTCCTTCCAACTCCCCTCCTTCCCAAGGGGACCTAGTCACTGAGGTCCCTGTTCTTAATTAGCCCCAGGCCGGGGCATCCCTCAGCAATCAGTCTGCAGGGAGCAGAACAAACTTCTAGTTACTCCCACTTTTGATTAATTAAGTTTCAGAACTTTGAAAACTTTTTGTTTAATGGGAAACCTGAAATCTCACCAGAGGCTTCTCAATACCAAGGCTGTCGTCTCAAAGGCCCCAAGTCCAGGTTCCAGAAGATGTCTCCCCTCTAAGCAGGTCACTCCTCCTGCTCTTGCTGCTGAGCTCTTCCCAGGACTCCCTTAGATAATGGAGCCAAAATCAGCTCCCTCACCCGCTAACAGCAACTCCACAACTGACCTCTAAAACACACACCAGTATCCAAAAAAAAAAAAAAAAAAAAGCCTGCATTCTGGCCTCTGTTAAAGAGGCCAGAAATCCCCCACAAAGTCTGATTTCCCCTTCACTCACTTTACAGCCACTTCTGGTCCTAACCCTGTCGACTCCCCAGAACCCCGTGGAGAGGTCCCACCCCTAAATCGAATCCTCTCTCTGCTCTGGCCTCAGGGTCCACCTTCTCACACCTGGGCACCTGTCTGCTTTCAAGCAAGATTCTTGCCACCCTTAACCTCTGTGGCTGGCCCCAGATCACCCGCAGGGCGCTTCCGTGCAGGAAGGGCATACGGACAGCCTAAGGCAGGCACTCGTATTACAGCCTGGGCCAACTGACAGGACATGAACTGTTTGGTGCTGGAGTGAGACAGAACACAAAGCATTTATCTAGATTTTGGATTTCATTTTAAGTACCTTCATTAATCCAAGAATGTCAATTGGTACAAAAGGGTATAAATTGAGAATAATCTTCCTTGCGTTCCTCAAAGTGCCCGAGCCAAATCAGACTACCATGTAACTGATGAAAAATTTCCTAAGCAGGTTCCTAAATAGTCTTTTAAAGAAAATGCTGTGAGAATCAATAAACAATGTCCTACTGTAAAGCACAGGGAATTATATTCAACAACTTGTGGTAATCTTTAATGAAAAAGAATATATACATACACATACACATATACATATATATATATATATAGAAGTGAATCACTATTCAGCACACTAGAAACTAACACAACATTGTACTTCAAGAAAAAATTTTTTAATAAAATAAAATAAAGAAAATGCTGTGAAAATCTGTTTTACAATCATGACTTTGTCACTTAACAGTATATAAAATACACTATCTCATATCAAAACATAATGCCCCAATTCCTTTTTTGCATAGCATTCCATTTTATGAATGTCCTATTTTACTTAGCAACTGTCTATTGATCAATTTTTGTTGTTGCTTCTATTTTTATTATGAAAATGATGCTACAGATATCTTAGACATGTATAAGTCCATACGTACTTAAACATATGGAATAAATCCAGAGCATTGGAATTTCTAGTTCAAAAGTTAGACGTACCTGTTTCTTTTTACTGGCATCAATTTATACTCTATAGATTTTTTTTAGACAATGAAGATTTATTCCCCTAAAAATACTCAAACAGAAGTATTTATACGTGTAAGAAAAATTAGACTATAGCACAAACAAGAAGTGAAGTTTTAGAACTCCTTTGTTAAAGGTTAATGCAATAAGAAGACTAAATATTTGTTTTACATATTAACTGGTTTTTAGTAATTTTTATTTTACCAGTGAGGAAACTGAAGAGCAGGGAAGTGACCAGTCAGAATGCCACACAGCGCTGGAGGTTTTGAATGCATTTGCTGGAACAGAAAGAGCCTTCTTCTGCCACACTACACTACTCCTTATCCAGTGTTTAGGAGGACTACTAGCATGCAACCAGACCTGAATTTTCAGTCCTTTCCCTTCTCCTTTTTCCTTTTCAGGCAAGCTATGGAACTATTTTCTGTAATATGAAGCTAAAGAGAATCTTCCATCTCAAGCACTGGGGAAAACATTGTCTGCTGTGTTTCAGGGTTTGCTATGATTTATCTATGCTCAGTCAATCCCACTGAAAGTTTTCTTTAGCTCTGCTGTCATTTCTGGATGCTCTTGCTCGTGCTGCTCATATTGCTTCTCCTGTCAAATGATGGAGCAGTTGCTCAGAAGTCTGTTCCTGCTGTCCCACTGAAACAGGTGTCTCCATAGTCCCTCTAATCACTCCACAGCCCTTTTCCTCAGTCCACTCACTGCTTCTCTGCTGCGCTTTCTCACAGTGACTGGCCAAGTCATGTCACACCTGTCACCCCACTTTTGCAGGGAGTGACTGCAGAATTTCCCAGAGAAGATGGGTGGGGAGAAAGGAAACATTTCTCTATATTTAGAATAAATTTTTGTAGAATTTCATACTCTATAGATTTTTGATTGATTTGCACACAACTATGATAGAGAGCCATTGATTTCCTGATCCACTACGAATCCAAGATATAATCGGAATTTTATTTTAATTTTAAATTGAAGGCAACAAAAATAAGATATCTTAAGAGAAAACTCAATTGAGAAACCTGATGAAATGGAAAATATTTTTTATGATTAAAAATTACCAAAACTAACTCAAAAGAAGTTGAATAACTGATTCCTAAATATGTTCAGTAAATGAATTCATATTTAAAAACATCTCCACGCAGAACAACTGCAGGTTCAGATGGGTTTACTGGTGGATTCTACCAAATATTTACAGAAGAAATAACACCAGTCCTTTGCAAAATCTTCTAGCAAACAGGAAAAGGGAACACTGCCTCATTCATCTAATAAATCCAGAACTAAGTACCAAAGACATCACAAGAAAATAAACCAATATTCCTCATGAACATAGATGCAAAAATCCTTCATAAAAATATTAGAAACTCAAATTTAGCAATATGTAAAGAGAATAATATGCAATAACAGAGTGGTGATTTTATTCCTGAAATGCCACATCGGTTTGTATTACGAGATTAATCAATATAAATCACCATGTTCACAGAAGTAAAGAGAAAAACCACAAAATCACTTCAACAGGTGCAGAAAAGACACTTAAAAAAATTAGCAATTATTGATTAAAA